CAACATATACAGAGGTCTGTGATAAACAATATTATTGGATAAGCTTAAGCTTGATATGGTAAACAACATATACAGAGGTCTGTGATAAACAATATTATTGGATAAGCTTAAGCTTGTAAACAACATTTACAGAGGTCTGTGATAAACAATATTATTGGATAAGCTTAAGCTTGATATGGTAAACAACATGTATACAGAGATACATGATAAACAATACTATTGGATGAGCTTAAAAATGGTAGTTTATTAAAACGAAATGTAAAAAATATCTGCCTCAGACTGGTCTTGAACATTTTATTAGGAGAGGACGTAGTCACTCAGATGTTGAGGAAGATGAAATGACTGACTCTGCTGAGGAAAGCGATCATGATGAGAACTCATTAAGCACAACGCAGAGCAATAGTACACCTGGCGTGACAACAAGCAGTCGTAACAGTACTCCTCAGCCAATGTCCACCAAAAATACTGGACGGCCAGATCACCCCATTGAGACATCAAGATGGACAGAGAAAGAAATGGAAATAGCTATGCAAGGTTTGGCATCTTAGTCTATTGCTACAAGTATTAACACGTAACGTTAGTGCATCGTTACCGACCGTATAGAAGGGGCTGTCAACTCATAAGGACAATATAAAAAATAAGCAGCAGTGTTTTATAAAGGATAAAAAACCGAGCGAGCCGATTGGTCTAGCAGTTCATGAATTATTAATTTTAGGATTTTAAATATGAGAAGAAGTAGATTGACGGGTGTGATTTTCAAATTGACCGTAACATTCGTTTGGACTTCATGTGAAGATTTTAGTGTTTTACATTCACCCAGGAAGCCTTGATGACCATTGACACATTTAATAGACCATTTCTTCCCTTTTTCTCATTTAGTTTCTATTCATTTGTTTGTGTTACAGGTTTGCGTGAAAAGGGTCGTGATTGGTCTGCTATTTCCAAAATGGTTTTAACCAAAACAGATGCACAGTGCAAGAACTTCTATTTCAACTACAAAAAGAAATTCCATTTGGAGGCCATGGTTGCAGAGTTTGAGTCAAGCAAGGTAACATGGTACTCGCATTATTTTTTAACAATCGTTTATGGCCTTCTATTATCATAATAGCTGTGCAGGTCTATTCAGTCTTTATTGAATGCTCCCTTTTTATTATTTCAATCTATGACAGATGCAGAGGAAAGGAGRAGAAAGCCAAAAGTCAACTGAAAGACCATCTCCTTCATCAAGACCAGTTACTCGAAGCCTTAACAATAAAGGCATCTCTTTATTAGGAAACGATAAGAAATTGGCTGCATTGTCTACACCTAGTATGCCAACTATCAATCCTTCAAGTCAAGAACAACCAACTCAACCTACATCATCACAACGCAACCAGGGGCTTTTAGTTGCTGTATCTGACCCTTCCAACTTCGGTCATGCTTCATCTTCCATAGCATCAACACAGTCGTTACAAGTATTAAATGTAGTACCGTCAACAGCAACAGTAGTGGCGCCCTCTAAGGCTTCTCCAACGGGATTCAGCTCGGCTAGCCAACAACACATTCCCGTGAGCCATCCAGGAATTTTGTTTACACAAACGCGCATCATTACGGGGCCAAACCAAAGCCCACACACTTTGGCCCAGGAACAACCAAGAAATCTCTCTTCATATGAACCTCAAGGGTATCCTCAGGCACCAGTTACACGACCGTTTGTAGTTCATCATCCTCCCGAGCAGGCAACTGTCAGTAGTATTATACCGAACGTTAAGAAAGGTATTTATTCTTTTTCTCTTGAAATAGTTGTTCTTCTCGTTCTTCTTGTTCTTCACGTTATTCTCGTTTTTTCATTCTTGTTCTTAATCTCTCCTCTTCTTGCTCTCCTCGTGCTTCTTGTTCTTTGTCTTGTTCTTTTTCGTCTTCTATTTTTACTATTACTGTTATACTGTATAACTGCAAAAAGATGTAAATACTATTTTGTCAAGAAAGTTAGATGCCAGTGCAATAACTGTGTTTGATTCCAGCAGATTATGGTACTGAGACCAGTAAGAAGTCATTGACATCGGAAAATACACCAAAAGCAGACATTAAAACACGTCCTGAAATAGTTATCATAGATGATGGCCAGCGTGGTCAGCGGAGCCTTGAAAAACCTCCAGAACCATCCATAGTCACTGGTGTACCTCTTAAATCACGTTCACCAGGTATGTCAACTAAGTCAATGGGATTTTTAAATTGTCGTGTGTGTCGTAGCATAGATCAGCACATATAAAACACTGCAGGGCAACTGGATTTCCCCTGATATTGACTGCTGAAAAAACAATTACGGCTGCAGTAATGCACAATCCCAGCAAGGACTACACACTGCAAATTGTTCTCTATTTAGTCRATGCAAGTAGGAATTGTCTTCTTAAAAACAAAAATAGATGTGAGGTTGTAGTAAACCGGCTCATCGATCCAATCGGGATTTTCCAAGCTGATAAGCTTCAGCAAGCTTTAGATTTTGTCTTTTTTTTTATTTAAATACAAAGTGCACAATAGTTTGTTAAATTGATTTACTAGTTTTGTTGTTCTTCATTAGGCATCAATAAAGCATCGGTTATAACAGACACAAACAAGATTCAGCGACCACTAAGCATCACGGGTAATAGTAATATCCTCCATGTTCGCCAGGAAGCCTCCTCAACCAGCAGTGAGTCTAATTTGAAGCCACCACCTCCGCTCATTCAGGTTGCGTCACAGCTGAGCATGCGTGAAGGTCAACCATCCAAGTCTCCAGGCCTTGAGGCTGGTCCATCTAGGCCAAAGTCAGGACCACCTCACAATACTGACAGCACCACAATGATGGTAGACCTTAGCAGAAAGTCGCCATCGGCAGAAGTCGCTACTCAATCACAGCAGCGAGATTATAAATCTGCTCGAGCCGCTCTGAAGGCTATGGCACAGGGATATAGTGAGGAGGAAGCAGAGAAGAGGAGCGAGGGTAAAAAGAGTGAACAGCCTCCTCATCCACCTCCACCTCCACCTAAACAGCCTGATTCAAAGCTGAATTCTCATGAACAGAAAGAAGCGATGAGAAAGTACAAGACTCTTCCAACATGCATTGCCGCACCTAAAGAATTTTCTCCTGGCGCAGAGTATGCTGCTTATCCACCATATGCACAGCATGTTCACAGCATGCATCTTCACCAAGCTCAAGCAAATGCTCTCTCGCAGTCTGGACACCCACACGTTCATCCACACTCTATTGCAATGAATCAACGTGGCTATCCAGTGTATATGACTCCACGTATTCCCTACCATCCAGAATATTCAGTCTTAACTCCTCTCACATTCCAATCAATGGTGGAAATGCCTCCACGAAGTATAAATGGTCGTGAAAGTCCAGGTCACATACCAATAAACCTTCCTGGATATGGGCACTTACATCCTGTCCATCCTAGTCCATTCTATCATGGGCTTACACCAGGATCAGGAATACACAACTACCGTGCACTTGAATCACATCATCAAAGACATCAGCATCCAACAGAAGAAAAGGTCCCTTCGTCTTCACGTCAGGGAGACGTATCGGAACACGAATTAAGCAATCCATTCTTCTCTCGTATGTCACCCCATCAACGATCTGGACATGCAATGGTTGGAGAAATCAGAGGTTGTGGCCCATCTCCTGTAGACTCCTCGAAACAGTCATCTACAGGTAGAGGTTCACTTGATTCAGTCAAGGGCTACCCAGCATCATACTCCCCGTCTGAAAGGCCTAAGTCGAATTCACCTGCAATGTCATACCTTCAAGTGGCAAGACCACCTAGCAAACCCACGTCACTATCTGAAATGCAAAGTCGAGCTGCAATAATCCCAGAGTTAGTACCTGAAGTCAGACCAAAGCATGCCTTTCCTGATCCACATCGTGTCGACGTCAAAGATGATACACCAGTCAGAGTAAGGACTCCTGAGCCTAGATCAGCTGAAGTCTGTTTAGAATCGAGGGGTTTGCCCTATTCTGAGTTTCGGAGAGACAAACGACATGATGAAATACCACCGTATACACAAGAGCATGTTAAAGCAAGCCCTGAGGTACGAAACCCTGATATTTATGTACGTCATTCAGTAGCTATCCCAGACACCAGGGCAGAAGGTCGAACGATTCAAAAAGAACCTAAACCCGATCACGCCCGCCCAGTTGTAACCTCAGAAGTGAGAAGACCTCCTCATGAGTTAAGAATGGACCCAAGATCAGAAATAAAGCACAGTGTAGCAGGACTTATGCCTTACTCTGATGGCAGGACAGAACAAGCAGATCGGGAAGTAAAACCGTACATGGGGCGTGATCATACATCTAGGCCTGACTCGAACATTATTCATCATCATCCAACAAGAATTGATTCTCGTCAGGACCAACGTATTGATTCTGTGAAGGTTGATGCCCTCGGACCTCCGCAACGAGTAGACAATGTCCAGAGACGCGATGTCAGACCGTCGGTCGATACATCTCCACGTGGTCATCAAGGATTTGAGGGAAGGTACTACCAACATCCTGATTCAAGCATTCGTCCGCATACAAGAATTATTCAGAGGTCAGACAATACTGCAAGCTCACTTTTGCCGCCTCAGCTTAGACCTGATCTGGTCCGTACAGCGTATGATCCACGTCATGATATCCAGCATGAGGTCCTACAATATCGACCTGTTGAGAATCAAGATAGAAAGGAGGTTAAAAGACTTCCATCTTCTTCTAGTTTACCCGACAGTGAAAGACAACAAGACAAGGGACATGATAGGATCCAGTCTACCCCAGCTCAAGTAATTCGTGAAAGGAATCCTTCTAAGTCAGTCGATGTTATTTTGATTCCTGACAACGAAAGGAAGGTTGAGGAACGTAGCGAAAGACAATCGCCATCCTCTGCCGTATCCAAAGCAAAAAAGAAAAATTCACAAGAAGATTTGATGTTAAATTTTGCGACTTTAGTTGACGTTGCAGCTCTCCAACGCCCAGTAGAACTTCCATCCTTTGAGCGAAGAGAACGAGAAAGATTCAGAAAGCCGCCCTCACCAAAACCGTCTGAACAAGAACCTGAGTATACTGGAAATATTAAAATTCAAGACACTGCTCAAGATGTCACCTATACGGGCCAGAGTCCGAAATATGGAATTGGCACTGGTCGTGTTCCTAAACCTCCACCACTAATGCCAATAACTGGCAATCCACTACATGTTGCTACCACTGCAGGTTCATCTTCTTCATCTGATTCCAAAAGTCCAGTAAAATTGAGTTCACCTCATGGTACAAGCCATACAGTTACCAGTGTGGAAAGACCACCTCCTCTGATATCGGGTACAACCACAAGTCCTGCTACGAGTATTTCCTCTGCTAAGCCAAACACTAGTGGACCTCCACCACTGATTTCGAATGTTTCATCATCGCCGGTACTCCATACCGTTCCGCCTCCAACATTAGTTCTCGATAGTTCACAGGGTAAAGCTGTCAGTCCTGTTAAAGTGCCGGCAGATCGTTCAGTTGACTCCGATAAGTTTGAAGAGAAGTCCACCCCTCAATTCGGCCAACCGTCTGTGGTGAGAAATATTTTTGAGACAGTAACCTACTTACCTCATGGTGTTTCTGGTATTATTCCACCTGCGGCTCTTTTGCAGCGACACCCAGCACTACCCATTCCTCACCCATTGCCACATACCAGCATAACAAGGGCACCTCCACCTGGTAGAGATTGGGCGCAAGTCAAGACTGGTCCAGCTGTTGATCCTGCATTTGCTGAATATTTGCTTGGATCTCAAAAACGTGAACAAGAAAATCAGCAAAGATATTCACCTCAAACTTCTCGTACCTTACCACATTCGTCGCAGTTACGTGAGCCACGTTCATCTGAAGGTGAACAGCACCATGATAGTGTTTGTTCTCAAAGAACTTCAAAATCTCCTTCAAAAAGTCCACAAAATGAACCCAAAATAATATCTGGAGAAGATGAAGACAAGGTTCCTTTCTCAAGGGTAACTGGCGTAGAAAATGTTGAAACATCACGTGACGCCTACACAGATTCAAGGGTTAGCGTTATCAGAGAATCAGGAAGAACGTCAGACGTAAGCAAAGTCTATACAAACGTACTAGAACGTACTAGAACACTTGATCAAGATCAAAGGGCGCACAGTCTTGATAGAACATTTGATCAGCAAACAGGGGGTAATGATCATAACACAATACATGATCAGCAACCAGAAGCACTCAGTATCAGTAGAACAGTTGATCAACAAGCAGAGTTGCAGAGTCACAGTAAAACTCGTGAACAGCAGCCAGAGGGACACAGTTCTCATACAAGATTTGATCAAGACCATGCTAACTCACCTCATGGAAAGATTCTTGATCAGTTCCATGCTCGCTTTTATAATCTTAGCCATCAAGCTCGTGGTAATTACCATTATCAGTCCCATGCCCAAAATAGAGATATACACCACGAGTCACGACCAGAGCACGATGTCAGTGACAGCGATACTTTATCAGCCGAAGAACCAGAGTACGTTCCCGAAAGTGGTGATGAAGTCACAGCGAGCTCGCTCGCTGATAACTCTAATGAAAATTACAGAATAACTCAAGATAATGAGGTAGCTGATAGTGCTTCTCAAAGTGAGCAGAAAACACCTAACACTTCATCTGACGTTGAAACTAATGACCAGCCGAACGTAGTATCAACAGTATCAGAGAGTGTAACAAGCTCGTCTGCCTTCTCGCCATGTTCAATTGTCGTCACCTCGCCAAGCTCTACAGATTTGACACAAGTCTCAGAACTACCATCAAGATCAATAGTGCACAGTTCTTCTAGCATAGACGAAACTAAAGAGGCAGTACCAAAACAGCAGAATGTCGAAGCAGACATAGTTCAAGCACAATCGAGTTCTGCATCCTACCAACTTTTTGAATCTGGCCATTCAGCTGAAGCAACTTCTTGTGATGGTTCAAATGCTCAATCTGATAAAACTACTCAGGAAGTTGTTCACAGTGTGTCAACAGCTGACAGCTCTGAAAACCAAACACCATTCTTCAAAAGGCGCGAGGAAATGGAATGTAATGCCGAAGTTGATTCAAGCAATGTAGAAGCGGTTCGCGTACCGTCATCTAGTAGTGATAACGTAGTTCATTCTTCTGAACCTCAAACTTCATCATGTCAGACTGTTTCTCAGTCATCAGAAGCGACAACTCCTTCAGTAGCGACTCCAATAATGAGTCCACAGCCTTCAGACCCTGATCTCAATTATTCAGAAAGCGCCTCGACGAATTCTACGGTAATCGATTCAAGTGGTTTACAAACAATCAGTCCCTTACCAGCAGATGACGTCATCGAACCTGTGTCATCAAACATACCCCCAGAACCCTCTGAAGTTTTACCTTATACTGTGGACGCCACTCCAGCACAGAGTTCAAATGATGACTTGCCAGAATCTACTAGTGCATTACTATCTTTCGTGCCTGAAGGAACCCTAGTTACGGACGGTGTTGATAGCAGTAACTGGAAGCAAAATATCAATAATGTTTCAGCATCATCGAGTGAGTTAGTGAATGATGTTAGGGTCGAAAGTGAGCCAGATTCTCACTACGAAACTGAAAATGTTGAGACTACAGCGGATTCTAGTAACATCTCCTCTTACACTTGTGACACTGAGCAGAGCTCTGATGAGCCGGATTCGCACACTGCTATTGAAAGCAGTACTCGTCATTTTGCAGATTCAAGTTATAATCGAAGGGATCGTCTGTCTGAAGAAGAATTATCTGAAAACGAGACATACGAAAAAACATTACATGGCGAAGAAGTAGAAGGAAAGGAAATATCTAGCTCTGTATCACACTCATCACAGGACGTTATGGTAACTCGTGATGCAAACACAGCTATTTCAACTACAAGGCGTTCCTCTCTAGAGGAGGAAAAAAGCGACATCGAGGAAGTCCCTAATGAAATTTACTTGCCTGATCAAGATGAAAACATGTCGTTACCTGAACCACAGTTAATGATGGATCCTGAGGACTCTGTTTCCGATGTACACAAAGACAGTTTAGAAGAATTGTCCGATTTTGACGACACTGAACATTCAACAATTCCTACGTTTGTTGGTGAATTTATTCCCAGCACGACTAGAGAAGATGGACCCGACTCATCCTCAAATGTATTACCACAGATGGCTGAATTCGAAGGAAGTAGTAGTAGTGCAAACACATCGGTTTGTTCTGATATGGTGCAAAGCTCCGTTCATGTACCACCGTCCTCTTCACAGCTCTCTCCTGATGTTCGTGAAGTTGAATGCTTTCCAGATGAAAGACCTGAAGAATCTGAAAGATCAGAAGTCATTCACGATAGAGAAGCAGGCACATCAGATCAGGGTGTACATTCGTCAGTGCCTGATACCAAGTTTGTAGAACGGCAGTATACGATAGAGTCGACATCCTATGAAGAGCAGAATAACGATCAAGATGTATCGGGCATTGCTGACACTACGTCCGCCGAGCAGAACTCTGGTATCCCGTTGATATCCAGTGATGTAAGTACCATATCTAATGATAGCCCAGTGGCGTTACCTTCTGACTCGACCAGTGAATCAGTGGAAGTTGAACATGAACCGGACCACGACCGGACGGGACCATGTGATCAAACCGGAAATGACGATTTGACAGAGGAAATATCGACCATGTCAACTTCCTATTTACCTGAAACAACTCCGGTATCACCTGCCTCGCCAGAGTCGGTAGACCAACAGTCTGAGAATGATAACATCTCTCCCGCACCTGTATGGCAAGGTTACCCGCAGTCGTCGAACTTTCCTAATAGTGGGACAGCATCACAACACTATTCATCATATCCACTTCTTTCTGCACAACTTAATACTGCGTTCCCATTCTCTACACTCAACGTCGCCTCTAATAGTGCACGGTCATCTCCCGTATCATTGTTAAACATTGGTCGTTCACAGTCTCCTTGCGCTGCCGTCTTACCTAGAGAACAAGAACCAATGCCAATATTGTCAGATGACTACGAGCCACTAAGTGACGATGATGCGAACTACGACTCTTGATCAAACGTTCTGACGTTAATCCATTGACCATTCGTTCGTGAATTGAAAAGGACCACAATTCTAATGAATAATAGAAAAAAAGGAGTGAAGTGCTCATTTACCTCGTAAATTATTTATAAAACGTGACGTCTTAGTAATACATTTAACGTCGAGTATGGCAAAATCCCCTTTTTCTTGTGATTCCTCGCGGATCCAGTGATTTATCAGCTTTATACATAAACTGGCTTATCAAACAATAATGTAAATAGTAACATATCGTATACTTGTCAATAAAGTCAATGAATTAAGGAACACATAACTTGTTGCTAAAATAATAGAACCGCTTCATAAAGTTAGCCGTAGGGGTTCAAAAACCAAAATTACGAACCTGCCTTCGAGCTAAGACCTAGATATGACGCGTTTTGCCAATGTTTTACTTTACTTTAACAACGATGGAAAAACGCGTTTTTGGGCGATGGGAACGCTTGTATGGACACTGGACATAAGTGGGCATAAGTGTTTCTCTCAGAGAAACTCCAAGACGAGACTTYTTGGTAGTTTGTGTCTAACTATGTAACTGGTTTCACTTGATTCGGAAGTAGGGTTAATTAAAGGAAGGATATCTTGGCTTCATCGTCAGATCAGAATTCAAAGCCTTGATGCAGTCATGTTTAGACATAAAAGTCGACTTGTAAAAGTCTTTGCAGGGGCGGATTTAGACTGGTTCACCTAGTTTCCGGAAACTAGTGAGATAATTTTCGCAAAAAATATAACAAAAATAGGTGACATTTCAAATAAAATTACACAAACGGCAAAGAATTAGAGAGTATTTTACCGTTTAGCTTGAAATACGATCGTTCTAGCCGCCATTTTGAGAATCTTAC